AAAATACACATATTTGAAGGGGAGAGAGACTGGCTTTATAGACGTATGAATATACACATAAAAACATGTCTAACCCCAGGTTTTCTGTCATGTTGCAGACTGTGACATGGCTAGGTTTAGATCTGCACCACATGTATTCATGTCACATGAAATGCATGCATACACAGGCCTCCCAATCAAGGGGGGTTTCCCAGGACATAAGAGAAGACCCTGACGGACGCCATGAGGTTTGTTCGGGCAGTCAACAGCCCACAGCGGATGCGTACAGCCGACTGGCAGAGATAAAGCCAGGTTGGTTGGCAATGCCACGGCCGCCCTTCCTGGCTCCACGCAGATAGCTATCAAGTGGCAAAACACACGCTCCCTATCCTGTTCCTCTCTTGTTTATGTGCGTGAAGCAACACAAAACCATATGCAGGCTTTCACTGTTAGTGTAAGCCATATTATTCTTGTAATTAAAACCAGGTCCACGGCCTATCTGAGAGCCCCTCTTCTTCCCTTTCCCCTCCCCCCCCTTTGCTCCCCTCACCATTTGCCTCTCTCCAACCTTGTTTGGGTTTACATGCTGTGTCATTAAATTCCAGAACAGTAAATGCTGCAGCCTCTCTCTCTAAGCACTGACATGCTGCTTTCTAGGCTGAAAATTAGACATAGGGTTAATTTCATTCCTGCAAGGACTCTGCCTTTTATTTTTCTTTACGTCCAACTCAAAGGATGCTTTTGGCAGATGCGTAGTGGAAAAAGATCATGTTTGCTCTCTGCTTCCTCCCTGCACTCCCCCCTCTCCACTCCCACCCATCAGTCATAAAACAACACAGCCCAGCCAGATCCCAAACTGAAAGCAAGACAAAGCAGCCACACAGCCCCCACTTCCACTCAGCAGAAATGGACCGCTCCGGGGTAGCCCAGGATCTACAAGTAGGCCAGACAGAAATAAACAGAGTAAACAAAGAGTATCCTGTCCAGGCAGGGAGGGGCTAAAGAGAGTGATGTCTTTCATTAAAATGCAAGGCAGGGATACAAGCACACAGCCAGTCAAAAGCATCACTGGAGCTTGCTAGGAGTAACAGGAGGAAAGCAGCACATGATCACGCCATTATAAGGACCCAAAGCACATCATGCAACTGTACACAGGGCGCAACTGCATATCCCACCTACCAAGTGCCAAAACAAGGCCGCCAACCACATACCTACCACCACCCCAAAAGACCAGAGACGGCAGCCCCAAGGCTGCGGCAGCACAGCGCTGCTCTCCGGAAGGCTGAGTAGGGAGCAGTGCACACAGGTACAGTACCAGGCGGCCAGAGCCGTGCAAATGTCAGAGCCAATGACATTTAAAAACAGTGTAGCTGCCTTTTTAGAAAAGGGATGGGAAAGGGGGAGAAAAGCACAGCACAGCCATAGCAACAGGTCAAGTGCTTGCCACGGTTCTTTGGGAGGAAGGGTAATGCGGTGCGTGTGCCTTCTCGGCTTTCAGAGCATTTGTCACATAATAAAATCATTAGCCTGGGAATTAATAAGAGTTTTGTTTAGTTTTTCTGCAACCTGCTGCTCCGAAGCCCATGCAGATCCATGTGTGAAAGTCCATGCTGTGTATACCCTTGTGTCTCCAATTACGCGGCTATCGCAAACAAACCTCACGTTTTTCCACAGACTGATGGGAAAAGTGCAGTACGTGGAGAGGTGGGGAAACAGCCAGGAGTTTCTAGCAAAACAGCAGTCTGTCTGCTGCAACTCTGCTCGGTTATTGGGAAAATTGAACATGCTGCTTTTTTTAAACAGCCTAATCATATTTACTATTACATCAGACTTACCCACCACAAATTATTCTCATGCAATGGAAGAATTTTTAATCTAATATCTTGGACTCGGATAATTTCCCAGCTGCAGAGCTGCAATAATTTCCTATCTTCTCATTTTTGAGATAAGCCAATTAACTTGGATATGTTTTAGTTTCAGGGTGCGATTATCTCCCTTTATTGTACTTGACAGAGAAGGGGTGACTTACAGTAAAATAACTTTGTTTTCCCCAAGTCAGCTCTTAAAGTCTGCTTCTCTGTGATGGAGATAGGTCTTTCCTGTTGCATCTCCCTCAGCCCCTTAACTTTCAGCACTTCCTCTTCCTCTCTCAGAGACACTTTATTAACAACAACTCTTATGTTACTCAGAGAAAAAACACTGTTCAAGAAATCCCTGAAATAACTCTTTCAAAAAAATCTCATGGAGAAAACATTTTCTTGTTTAAAATACATTTGAAAGTTTATTAAAAACCCCACAACCCAGCCCTATTGGTCAAATCCTGCTTGCATTGTTCCTTTGTTTTCAGGCACACTTACAGAAGAAGAATAATAGCAAAAAAGGATGATAAGGCCTGATGCTCTGTTCACATATACAGTGGAGCAAAACAGAAACCTCCATTCACTTCAGTAGAACTGATTTACACCCAAGTAAGGGAGAAGACAAGCAAATCCTTGAATTTATGCCATTACAAATTGAAAAATACTGCTTACTCCCACAATTTTGTTGAGAGCTTTTGATATTTAATGTTTTTTCTTAAATCCCCAGGTCCTAAATTTACTTGATTATGTCAAAGGGACTCCCTCTCCTCCTTTAGTTTTTCCTTAAGTTTCTAGCAATCCTATTGTAGGAGGAAAGCCTGAAACCATGAGGTGAGGACACGTTTTGGACTGGAAGGCTATATATGTTGAAGTGTTTTGATTTCCCTTTCTCTTCTAGATCTCACTGTTGTGCAGGGCTTTTCAACCTGTGTTGATTTGCAGACCAAATTTGACACTGGAAACGTATGAATTACACATATGCAGATTCCTATACGGCACATATCAATTCATTCCTCTTAGTTACCATTCATGAATTCCTCCAAAATAAATGTTCATGGGTTGAAAAGCCCTAGTCTGATGATTTAGTGGGAGTGTGGCTCGTGCGTTTTCCCTGCACAACATTGGCAATACCAAGAAGGAGCTGGCCTATTTAAAAGGGAGACTCTCTAAAAAGCCAGTTCAGTGAAAAGACATGGTTGCATAAACATGCAAGTGCAAGAACTTCTTAACATTATAGATGTAGCAACAGAACAAATCAACGTTTTGCTACTGCCTATTTAAAAAAAAAAAAAAAAGTAACTCCAGCCCCCAACAAACCGCTGCTCCTGCACAGCTGTGCCCCTCGCAGCTAAGCTCCTAAAACCATCCCTCTCCCCAGGAAGGTGACGGGCAACCTCTGGTTCTCCCCTGCTGGGGAAGGGAAAGTGGAAGCTGTCCTCTACTGACTGCAGTGAGAGCACTTGTGTCCCTGGGAACACTCTTGTAGAGAACAGCCTGCAGTATAACAGCAGCCCTCCTATTACCAGTGCGTTTCTACGGGCGCTATTTCTAAGAAAGCAGCCACAGGAGCAGATCCAGAAAACATGGCAAAATGTATGAGGGAAGAAAGAAAAATTACAAAGAGCCTGGATTTATCCCTGCCTGTTCCTACTGGCAGCAGCAGGACTATAGAGAAGACAGACGGCGAAATGTTGTAGTGCTGGACATACAGCCTGGTGGGGCTTGCAGTTTTGCATCACTCAACTCTGTTTAAAAACCCTGTCCGGAATTCTTACTTCTTGGTACTCCAAGATACAATATCACAGCTACCTTTAATTATTTCTTTTTCCTGAAAGTTAGTTAAATCAAGTTTACCTTTTCTTCATTAGCCTGCTTTAAGTGAGTTTAATGAATGCAACTCTGGTAATGAAATGTGCCTAACAGATCACAGATAACAGTTCACAGAAACTTTCCACTAGTAGACTGGTACAGGGCAAGTCTATCTACAACATATCAAAATAACTTAGTCTCTAGGCACCTTTTCCTACAGCAAGTGTTAGCAGGTGACTCATGATAACTGGATTTTGTCACCAAAGAGCTACAGAACGAGTAGCTTCATGCCACCCAGCTGAATTAAAACCAGAAGAGTGACAGTGAACCGGTCTGTATTCCACACCACCAGCATCTCCTGTATGTTAAAGTCACCCTGTCAATTCCAGTTCAAATTAATCAAGAGCGGATCAAGTCTACCTTTTATGCTATTTTCTAAATGAAATCAGATGTACATGTAAAACTGGTATTTAAATGGGTTTTACCTAATAATGAGTCAGATATTGACAGAACAATCGCAGTGAAGACCAAGGTAAGAGGCACTATATTCTCATTAATAATTCAAATCTCAGCATGGATATTGATGACCATGCACTTAAAAGAGGAAATTGGGCAGCAGCTGAAGTTAGCCCAGATTTCCTGAAAAGTTCTTGGAACACAAGAGAGATGCACAAGAAAGATTCTACTGTAAGATCCAACCAGAGAAATGGCATCTCCTCATTATTAAGAGATCTTGGACCCTCAGAAGCGTTACTGAAATTGAGCAAGGAACAAAAACACAGCATTAGCAGACGAATGAAAGGGGACGGGTGAGAAAAATAAGGGAATGAAATCTGCAGGCAGAATCCCAATACTTCCCCTTCCTCCCTCCTCCCAGTCCCAATATTGGGGCACGGAGCAACAGCGTTCTGTGGTACCTAATTCCAGTTACTGCTTAGGAGCAAGCAATGTTACAAGCTTTAAAATAAATGCGTACAATCAGCAAAAGCGCAAACAAACAGAAAGGTCATAGGAGCCAAAACCACTCAGAACAAACCAGTTGGGGCTAGTTAACATAATCTGCTCTATTCACATAACTAAGTTTGTTTCACTGAGGGCATGAACTTTCTTGGAAAAGCTGAAGTAATTAACTGCAGGAGCTTTCCCTCAAGTTTATTTTACCCTGAAATTAGAGCTGCTTGCACACAACTGCTTCTACCAATTCACTCAAAAATCTGAGTTTTGCTTGTTCTTTCCAGAAGGAGATGCTTGAAGAGATGGTACCGTTGAAGTGTAGGATTCTCTTCAATTCCTCCTACCTCCTATCCACCCTTTCCATCACTTCAGATAGATACAAAGAAAACCATGACTTACCTCGCGGAAAAAGAGCAGGTTTCCAACGAAAGGAAGAGGTGGAGGATGTCGGATCCCTACATTGCTTAGTTTGGAGAATGCAGAGGTGGAGTACCTGGAAAAAATAAGGTAGTAAGTTAATTTTGGATGTTGTCATGATAGGACTTACCATAGTAATTGGTTCAGATTACCTCCCTGGATTCAGAGAGGGAGAAGATGCTTTCTGCGTTGGCCAGACAGAACTGCCAATGTGGTGACATTGCTCAGCAGCTCCTTAGGTCGCAGAAATAAATGCAATACACTGGTGCTTCAGAGAGGGCAAAAGAACAAAGGGACTCAAACACAGGCCTGCAAATTGAGCAGTGGAAATAGAGAGCTGCTCCTCTTCCCACAGAGGGTCTTGTAAGTCAGAAGCTACGTTAGGTTACAAACGAGATCAAAATAGGCATTTGGGTTTTGACTACTGTGGCACAGCTGGGAAGGGAACAAGACAGATCTTCAGACTATTATTTTCTTCTTCTTCCGTCACTGCTACCTATACAGATCAGAGAAGAAGAATTCAAACTAGTCTCAGTTGTGCATGAGCCAAGACACTGTCAGTATGTTCAAGTCAAGCCTAGTATTTGGGCCAGATATGCTGATTAAGTGATTTTCCAGCTGCCAGTCAGCAAATTAAACTTTTGCTTTGTGTGGGCTGGGTGGGGAGGGAGCCAGATCTTCAGACTATTATTTTCTTCTTCTTCCGTCACTGCTACCTATACAGATCAGAGAAGAAGAATTCAAACTAGTCTCAGTTGTGCATGAGCCAAGACACTGTCAGTATGTTCAAGTCAAGCCTAGTATTTGGGCCAGATATGCTGATTAAGTGATTTTCCAGCTGCCAGTCAGCAAATTAAACAAAGATAAAAAAATACAGGGAAACAAAACCCAGACTGAAACGCTTCATGCATCCCTTGTTTCAGATGAAACTGTGGCATGTTGACAGGGACAATACTGGAAAAAAAAGAAAAAAGAAAAACCCAACACCAAAGTCTTTTTTTTTCTCCCCTCCCCCTTTCTTAATACAAACAATGGATTTAAGTCAGTGGACTTCAATTAGTGAAACCTGAAAGAGCAGGAGCTAACAGCAACAGCTTTGATTAGCCAAAGACACAATAATACTGAGTATTATCATGCTGAACACTATCACCAGGAGGACCAGGGCAAAAGATCTTTAAGATTAATAAAGGCTGTGTCTATATTAACACCTTAGTGCAGAGCAATAGTATAGTTTTAAAGCTCTCCCCCTGCATGATGGTTCCGTGTCTGGGGCAATTTTGGCACAGGCAACCACGCTTTTTTGAGAGGAAACTGAACTTGAAGCTCTGCTCGAATCCTTCATCTCTTACCAGGGCAGGTCTGAACTAATGAGCAGTCCTTTAGTTTTGAACCCCAAGTGCAGTGAGACTGTTTAGTCCTGGGGAGCGAATTAAATCCAGTCCAAAATAAAAACTGTGAACTGCATATAGTGTAGGGGTCGCGACATCAACTGCTTTTGTCTACCGACTCTGCAAGTCGTCTGAATGACATAATAGAGAGACAGCGGAAGATCTGCCCTCAGATCCCGATGGGCTGACTCCCTCTTAATCCCAGCGTACAGCCTTGTTGCCTCTGAAAGCTATGCTAACCCACTGCTATGACTTGGACCTCTCCCTCTTCGGGTCCAATAATGGACACATGCCTCATTTGAAATGCCCTGCATGATGCAGGCAGGAAGATTCTGGTTTAACCTAATGGGCAAACAGCGCACAATTCTTGGGGGTCAGGAAGGAGCAGGGAGAGAAAAGGAGAGAGAGAAAGGACCAGAAAGTGGTCCTTTCCTCCAGCAGGGGGGAAAGGAAAGAATGACGTTGTGAAATGAAATACATAAGATTAAGAGAATTAAATCTCACACGACCAGCAAAGCACAATGGGACTTAAGTATCGCGTTAGTAGCTTTTTGTACTTCCGTTTCCTGAGAAAATTTCCTGCAGCACAGTACCTATTCTATTAAGGGGTTTTCTTTTGTGAAGATATTTTACAAAAATCATAATCAGAAGATACAGATTTGATCATCTTTAAATAGCAGCAATGTTTTTTTATGGGGCAGTACAAACCTTCACAAACACAAACCCTCTCAATAGAAGTTATGTGTCTTCAGTCTATGCAAGGGCATTATTTCCGTATGACAGGGTATCGTGGAATAAAGGCACAGAAGTCGACATTTATTACACATTTTATACATATTATTGACTTTTTGGTTACTTAACCGCTTTAAGAAATATAAGAGTTTTTCCCTATTGAAACAGCTAATACTCTTGGGGAAAAAATGTTTTAACTTCAAAACAACAAACAGCCTACACGATACATTTTCTTCCCCAAAGAAAGGATTTTTTGCTGTTGTTTGAAATCTTACTGAAGTGTCTTTGTGTCATAGCGAAGTCATCATCTTCAGTATGTAAACAGTGGAAAAGATTAAAATCTCTCTCAGTGGAAACCCGTCAATTTTGCGGCATTTTATCCTGGATGTTTTCACTGTAAAATACGTGGCAGATCACAAAACACCAGGCTGGGCTATAGTTAACTGCTAATTTCACTGTAGACCGGAACACTCTGTAGACGCCTGGTCTTCATGTACTGCAAAGTGAAAAGTGACTGCAACAGAGCCTTACACTACACAAAGTAAACAATGTGATCACCAAATATTTCAAAAGGAGCAGTACTAATGAGTACGGTGCACCCAGTTTCACAAGGCAAGAAACACCCAGACTCGGAAGACTATTTATGCTTAGATGAGCAGTTCGTCTTTGTCAGCTTCTGAACATTACTGGCAGCTCCATACAGCTGAGGATTTGCTTTCCTTTTTCCCCTCCTAACATGGTTTTCTCTGATGCTTTTTATTCAGTTACATTTGAAGTAGGTTTTCAAAAGGTAAGGAAACACGGTTTACAATGAGATGGGAAACAGAAGTACTGTAGTCAAGCTATACACTGAAATATAACAACAAAAGGGTAGGGCCAGCAGCAAAAAAAGAAATCTCATCAATAAACACATCTAGCTCTACCCTCTGATTTCACAATATTTCTGGTATTGTTGAAATATCTGCAGTTTTGCAGAAAAGAAAACAGTATGAAAGTGCTTAAAGACTGATGGTGCTGCATGCACAAAAGAAGGAAGATCTAACATTGCACAGGTAATCTTGACTTTGGCCATTTATAATGTAACAGCTTATGTTCTGCAACCTTAAATATTATTTTAAGAGCCTTTTTCCCCACCTCTGCAATATTTCAGCTCATTCCCACCATTTTGGATGGGGGAGAGAGAGGAAGGAGTGACTTGGAGGCTCCTTTTAAAAAAGAAGAAAATAAAAATTGTCCTGTATAACACACAATGAACATCAGCAATACATGAATCTGACAGCTTCATGGCACAAACCTTTGCCTTTTCAGCCAGAAGCCACTGATAACTCGAACAGGCTAATTTATGTGATTCGGCTACTCAGCACACCCATGCCACACACTTGGCCAGTAGCTCACAGAGCTGTGTGCTAAGCGCACTGGGAAAACAGTGGCCGGGTTTTGTCGCTGGGAAGGGGAGGTGGGCTAGAAGCTGGAAGAGTGCAAACAGGCAGGGTTGCCTTGTAAGCAGTCACAAGACGTTCGTCCGGGGAAGCTGTACATCTAAATGAAATAGTTCTGAGCCTGCCTTATCACCAGCGGGAAGTCTCATTTCTCACTCTGCCACTTAACAACACTTCTGTGTTAATTTACCACAAAAATCAACCTGGTATCAGGCACGGTCCTGCTGTTGCTGTGCGTGCACACTGAAGGTAGAAGCCCAGCCAGTGGACTAGGAGGGCTAAGTCACTTACAGAATCTAGAAATAGAAGAGATACTGAGAGATTACCAAGATGACCAAAGACATGGAACAACTTCTGTACAAGGAATAAGCAAACAGGCTATAATCTTAATCCTGGAAAAAGAAGCAACTGATGCAGGATATGACAAATATATTTAAGATCCTGCATGGCTTAGAAAATAAATAAAGAATTATTACCCACTATTTAAAAAAAAAAAAAGAATTAAAATCCACAAATGAATATTCAGGTGGCAGGATTAAAAATGAAGCACTTTTCCAAGTAATCAATATACTAACTATGAAACTCCTTGCCACGGGATGTTGTCTATTCCAGAAGCTTAAAAAGCTTCAAAAAGTGATTAAATAAATTAATGAAAGGAAAAAAATCAACAGGCACTTTTAATTCATGAATTTAACAAATATAAGAGAAAAACATGGAAAAGATTAAAGGGAAGGAGGGAAAATTAATCAAATTTATTTTCCTAAGCAGGGAACTAGCCTGTAAGCTTCCAATGGCAGAATAAGAGATTAGACGGTTACAAAACCTAAAAGATAAAGCCTCAGACACTTCAGTTTTCTTAAGAGGAAGAGAGGAAGGAGTCTGTGCAAAGGGAGGGGATGAAAAAGGATAAAACTCTGATGGCAGCAATATTTACTGGACAATCTAGCACATTCTCACTCAAAGGAGAAACATACCCTAATATTTACACATGTAGGACTTCCTACACAACTATTAATATAAAACCCTGGCATTATATTTTGAACAAAGTGACAAGACATCAAAAGGAACCAGAGGAACAGGAGTAATGAAGTAGATCAATAAACAATTCAATAACTCTTTGAAGACATTCAAATGGCCTCTCAGAGCTAGATGCTCTCCGTATATATTAAACACGACTGTTAAAAGAAAGTTAACATGCCAAATACATTCCTGTAGGCCAGCATGGCAGATTTATGCTCTCTGAAATATGAACTTTTCTCCACAAAACACCATGCAAAAAATAAGGAGAAGGAGTTAAAATCAACAGATAATTAACATAAGTTGCAATGGATATATAATCAACAGACTAGCCATCCGTCCAGCCAGGTCAGTACTGATCAGTACTGCAAGAAAAAGTATTATACAGCCCACCATTAAGTGCAATCAATTTATGTAGCAGATGATAACATTACAGAGTTGCCAATTCTGCATCATAGAGTTCAACATACCACTGAAATTACCCCAAGTGTCTCTCAATA